CTTTATTGTAAGGTTACATTAACAGAATCTTGCAAGTCTGAAAGTACATTTCTCCCCCCTCGCCTTTACAGTCTAAGAAACTAGGGAGGGTCCTTTCTGAGACGTTTAACACATCCCCATTCCTTCTGCGGGCTCAGCTGACGCTTATCTGACCATTGCCTAGTCTGCGGCTCTTCCTCCTCTCTCCCAAGGTCATTCCCACACACCATTACAGTCACCTTGGAATTGCATCTGAAGGGGTAGGGTTGTCACTTCATACATCCAGGGGTCCATTCCGGCTTCCTTTGCCCAACAGGAGGAGGGAAACTCCACACGTGTGCAATTCGCCCTCCTGGAATTTATGGACCGGAAGAGCAGCGGCATTTGCCTCGGTTGGCCGTATGTATTTTGATTGGCAGCCCGAAGGAAGCGGGGCAGAGAAGCACCATTGCAGGGAAAGTTTGCCCTGGTGCAAATGATTCGCCAGCTTGAAACGGGGTTTGTTCCTCAGGTAAATGAGGCCTCCAGGGAAGGTGAAGGAGAAAGGCGTGAAAACAGGCATTGCATGTTCATTTCTCAAGCGTTGTGTTTTCGATCAGAAAGAGGGGAAGAGGTTAAACAACCTACTCAGTCTGTCTCTTTGCCGGGCACTAACAACAAAACATGAGTATCTCTACTCCCCCCGGCCAAAATTGAGCTAAAACAGTTTCTTGAACTTGGTAACTTTAAGACATGTGGACTTCAACTCCCACTGGATGGGGAATTCTGGGAGTTGAAGTCCACACGTCTTAAAGTTGCCAGGTTTGAGAAACATTGCTCTAAAATGTTGGGGTGTTCTGTTAAAAAAGGAAAAGTTAAAGGAAGTTGGGACGTCCTCCTTTTCCCACGTCACCTGTTTCTAAGCACTCGTATCCTCTACTTCAATGACGCCCTTGCGATTTTCGTGTTTTGCCAACAGCTCAATATTGAAAGGGGGATTTTTAACACCCGTGTCGGGGATCCAGAGACTCTGATGAACTGGGTCCACGTGGAAAATCTCGTGCAAGCTCACATCCTTGCAGCAAAGGCTCTCACTCCAGAAATGAACTATATTGCGGTGAGTTCTTCGTTCCCCCATTTCCCCGAGGTGTGTGGGCTTCACCCATAACTTATGCTGAACAAATGTCTGCAGGACATTTACACATTGAAGGCATATTTTTCCTTTATTGATTTTTTTTTCCAGTTGGGATTTTAATGCAAAACATTAAAAAAAAAAAGAGGGGGGGGGATCTCCAAAGTACCACTTCGGAGCTGAAAGGCAGCCATATGTTCCTCCAGTTATATGGAATTGCCAGTGCAGAAAACATTTTTAACAGTCATAAGTGGTTAATTATCCTAGTCCGCCCACATGGAGGGAGAACCCCTCCAAGGTAGATACAATGAGATGAATCTACTTCTTCATTCAGGACAGAAAAATATATTGGTTATGTGATGTTCCCAGCAGTGATTCCACTGATTTCCACAGAGGAAAAGCAATGGAGAAAAATAAATACGTAAATAGGATACAGTGAAAAGATTGAGGAAACACTTAGCATTCTGCTCTTGTGCTTCTCGGGGTCTTAAAAAAGCTTTGGTCCCTGTTTAGGATATAGCAGGGGGATCTTTAAACAATTACACCCCCTCCCCTTGCCAAATTGTTTAAGATAAGTTAGAAAATGGCTTATAGTTTTTGCTGCAAATGATCAGGCTCTCGACAGGCAACAGCAAGATTTCTGCAGTCTTCTTTAACAAGATTTGTTGAAAGGGTAAGGAATAAGGTTTCAGAAATTTTCAGTGACTGATTCCTTTCTTTTTTGAGCTCCATGTATGTTACCTTCCATTAGGACAGAAACTTTTTCAGTTTCTTGAGAATACTTGACTATGAACTAGGGAGCAGGCTGTTCTGCTCAAAGGTAACTAAGGAATTTGCAGAATGGTGTTATTTTCCACACCGCTTCTTGAATCTTTCTCGAGCTCCACACCAACCATGAACAAATTGTCTTCTGGTGCTTACACAGAAGCAAGACCTCCACAGTGGTGGCCCCCACCCTTTGAACACACCTCCTTCCCTCCTATCTTTGGAAGACCCCCAAACCATCTTTTAGATGCCCACTCAAGGTCTCCGTCTTTTCACCCAGATGTCCTTATCTGACTACGTCTGCCTGGACATCTTAAGGATTTCAAGGTCACCTTTCTAACGGATCCTTCTGTTGTATCATTCCTAGGGTGGCCAGGTGTACTTTATCAACGACGATGAGAAAGTCAACCTGTTTGAATGGCTGTCTCCCTTGGTGAGTAGAAGAACTGTGGATCACCAGCGCACATCTACAAAGCTTGTTTAATGCCTGCCCTGGATGATGTGGAAACACTGAAGGCCCTTTTAGTAATTCCTTGAGCATCCTTGACTGGCTGCCCATTTATTGGTCCTTAAGTCACAAGGCAAACAAAATCAACCCAGATGGGGCACAGGAGCGATTGGGAGCTGGTTTGGCTCAGTGGCCCCTTGAGGTGGGTTACAGACCTCCTGTCCTCTTCCTGCCCTGCATTTTGGTTCTGTTGACTACCGGAGTGGCCCACTTGGGCCCTGTCAATCAGTCTCTCACTTTGCTTTCAGTTCGAAGGACTGGGCTCCCATAATCCGTGGATCCGGGTTCCGGTTTTTCTGGTTCATCTATCAGGTAAACTGCCTCCGATGGTTGGCTCGGTGCTGTTTCGAAACACTACGTGATCTCAGTTCCAGCGTGTCCCAAACCACAACCAGTTATGGCTTAGGGAGAGATTATGAGCCTCTTCTCCTCTTCCTTCCTCTGATAGACATCAAGGTTCTTCTTAAATAGGATTTCCAAGGGGTTGTAAAGGAATTTAACCTGGCCTGGCTCTGCTCTCTCCTTGTTTTCTTATCTGTTGACTTGGAAGCATGAGAAAGAAATTCAAAGTCTTGATTTTCTTTAGTGTAAGAGTCCAGGACCATCCATGTCTTTTAGATGTATTTCTTTTTCAAAAATTCCCGTCGACCCTTTATTTTGGTGGTTTCACTTTTCCCATAAAAACGGGACCCCTTAAGGCACAGTCTTTCACGTTCACATGAAAAAAATATGGAAATGGAATGGCCTTTTTAAAATAAATGTACAGATACTGTTTGATTTTAGGTATTTTTATTCGAATATGCGTTTTTGTAAAGTTTTTCTTGGTTTGGCCCTTGAATTTTCCTTTGGAGAGCAAAGTGATCGACGTAAACAATTTACTTTTTTTTATCCTGGTCAACCTCTTTCAGATTTGCCCCTTTGCCAGGCCAGTCCTTTGTTTTTTTCTAAGAAAATACAGTCCCCCTGTGTAAGACAGACACGGGGAGAGACTGATGCCAGCCCGCCTTTCACGCGTTTGCTTTCCGTTGAGCCGGTGACCGCAAGGACTGCCTTTTCTCTTCCACAGCTGTCATCATGGAAAACGTCCACAGTATGTTGCTGCCGATTGTGGAAATCACGCCCCCGATCACCAGAAATGAAGTAATGTGTCCCTGAGCAATGGGGAGGGGGCGAAGGGGCTACTTGGCAAGGAGAATTTGTACCTGCCATCAAGCCGGACCCCAATGGGCCTTCCGAAAGGGAAGAGGACAGTGCCACCCGTGTTAAGGTGTGCCAAGAATATTCAGTGCTTCTGCTTGCCAGTCTTTGCGCTCGGCGTCCCTGGGAGGAAGGGTCCCAAATTGTCCTATCTGCCCATTTTACAGATAGGCAACTGAGCCTAGGGTAAATTCTTGGCTGTCTCCCATGCCTGCACGCAATGCTTTGTAACTGTCGACTCTGGTCTGCGAGATGTTTCTTGGCTCGTTCAATTTATCCGCCGCCCAATTCCTACCCCATTCTGGGCGATGCGACCATTATTTATTTTTATTTATTTATTTATCAAATATTTGTCACCGCCCATCTCGCTGAACCGACTCTGGGCGGTTTACAGCGAAGATAAAAATTCATTCAAATGCCACATAAAACAGTCCTAATGATAAATGAAGAGATTAAATAATAAGAAATTAATCTTGGAACATGCAAAGGTCATGCAGAAAGAGCCCCAGAGCGAACATCGCCTGCTACTTGAACTCCAAGGCCTGAAGGAACAGCCAGGTGTTAAGCCAAGTTTTAAGGCCAGGAGGAAGAGCCAGTTTTAAGGGTGGGACCATACGAATCTCGGGGGAACCTCTGGGGAGGCAGGTGCCGGGGCAGAGGAGACCCACTTCTGGAGTCCCATCAGATGTCACCATCTAATCCAGT